TGCTGCGGGTGCCATTTTCCATCGACTTGGCGCCGTACTTGCTGGCACTGATGGTCCGCGTGCCCAGCTTGAGCACCTCCACGTTCACCCAATTGCCGTCCTCGGCCTGGATCAGGAGACCAGCCCCGTGCACCACGCCCGGCCGCCCGTTCACGTCCTTTTTATATTTATGAAAAAAAAAAAAAACAACTTTTATTTCGTATCGATGTATAGGTACTATGGAAAACGCAAATAAACAACTCGATACGAGAAAAGTAAAAAAAAAAAAAAAAACAAAACAAAACAAAAAAAAGAATCAGTATATGAACAACGAAGCTTTCCCCTCTGCAGTGACAGAGAGAGGCTCTCCCGTCTAGTACTCGATGGTGATGGTCTTGGTCTTGAGGTACTCGTTGAGCGCCTCCTGTCCGAGATCCTTCCCGAAGCCGGACCTCTTGAAGCCGCCAAAGGGAGCGGCGACGTCCGTCTTGTTGTACGTGTTGACAAAAACCGTGCCCGCCTCGATTTTCTCGGCAAACCTGAGGGCCCGGCCAATGTCCTTGGTGAGCACGCCCGAGGCGAGCCCGTACTCGGTGGCGTTGGCCCGGCGCAGCACGTCGTCGAGGTTTTGGGAGCTAAAGCGCGAGACGATCATCACGGGGCCGAAGGACTCCTCGCGCGCCAAGTAACTCCCGTCCTCGACTTCGGTGAATATCGTCGGCTCGAAGTAGTAGCCCGGCCGGTCGAGCCGCTTACCGCCGAGGACGAGCTGGGCGCCCTCTTTTATACCCCGGTCGACGAACTCGAGGAGCTTCTCGAGGTGGGCCTTGTGGTTCTGGGGCCCGTGGGAGGTCGCGCGGTTCAGGGGATCCCCGATCTTTATCTTTCGCGTCTCCGCCACCACGCGCTCGATGAACTCGTCGTGGATGCTGCTCTCCACGAAGATGCGACCTGTTCGGGAGACAACGTTTATATTCATTATTGGTTAAAATACCTATACATCACCTCTCCCGGCCATCCTCAATGCATTTATCGGAACAATTCAACATTGTTTTTCAACCATGCACAGTCTTCTACCCATGCCTATACTCTTGATTGATTCACGTATTTCAAAGAAAATCCGATGTATAAATTAATAATATCGGCATTTTACTCTTGAAGATGTACCTTACCTGACCACTTTTTTTTTTATTGGAAAAAAAAAAAAAAAAAAAAAAAAAAAAAAAAAAAAAAAAAANTTTAGTCATTGAAAGTAGTTAGTTATTTCAATGTTAAAAAAATATGATTAAAAAAATTATTATACACAATTTTTTTTCTCAATTGGTGGTCACAACTTCCAGCCGCTGGTGCACATTAAATGAAAAAATATAATAATGAATGAAAATATGCACACAAAAAAATTGTATATGCAGAAAAGGAGTAGTAGCAAAAAAAAAAACGTGTACCATAAAGTCGTCATCCCGATTTCTAAAAATCTGATCGTGAGAAAATTTTCAGAAGAAGAAAAAAATGACAATCTAATCTCTCCGGCTCGAAAAAAATGCCGAGTACACCACGTATACGCGTGCGCCTTTCGTTGACCACGAGCTATCACAATTATGCAAGCTATCAATAATACAATTACCGACGATAAGTCACATATATTTGTACCATAGTTGGATAGAGTGTCAGTGATGCGCGCACTTATAAATAATTTACGTTCGAGTACTTACCTAATGGATCTTCACGGTTGTTTTTATCTGGAATTGTAAAAACGCCAGTTATCTCGTGTTCATTTTTCCTGAGGAGACTGTAAACTTCGGCCGCAAAGTTGCTCTGCCCTATTATGGCGACCTTCAGCTTTCCCATGGTTATCTAGATTATCTATTTTTTTTTTCTGTTAATGAAATTATTTGTATTACTTACAAATATCATTTAAATTGATTAGACATGTTCAGTAATAGTAACTGTGTAGCTATATACAGACATTTTTCAGGGATTAATAATTTACGTTAAATAGCTTCATTTATTACTAAAAGTAAACCGATTCCCATACCGATTTTTTTTTTTTTTTTTTTTTTTTCATTCGTCTTTATTTGGGCAATAACTTGAAGGTATGTTGTATAGCTGATCTGTCTACGAATCAGCTACAAGCAATAATAATTGGATTTCCCATACTTTAGTATAGTCATGAAAATAAAATTGTTGTTAAAAAACAAAAAAACAAAAAACAAAAAAATCATCACTAAAATTCAACTTTCTAGTAAGCATGCATAAAATTATTACTTCGAATGAGAGTATACAAAATCGAGTATACCTGTACGATACGATTAAACGCAGAATAATCAACAGACGAAGGGAAATTCGAACCGAGACAGGTACACGCGCGAAAGTGTAGGTGAGCCAGTGAAAGGAAATTCGTATCGTTTTCGAAAGTCCCAGCAAGTATATACCTATAATATACTTACTGCGAATCTCTAAATTCGCGTTTTTGCCACGATTGGTATACCTACCTGTAGCCATGTCACGCGTTAAATTATCAAATTTCGTAGCGCTCAATACGTGGATTTTTACATCGCGTTATCACAAATGCCCTCACCCCGTGATTCCTTGTACACGAAAAATCCAAAGACGAACGAGCGAGCGAGCGAGCGAGCGATGAATCAGTGGGCACAAAACACAAATACGAGGGAGAGCTCGTTGCTCACATGTATTGTATACCCTATACAAATAAATTTGCCGATTACAGCTAATGCGTCAATAATAACATAATCGCCCGACACGAGGCGCACGCGTGAAGCCGCTATTGTGTACTTGTGCGCACCGTATCCTTCTGCGCCGTTTGTTCGCCAAATTATCTATGTGTATATACGAATATAATATGTTGAGAGAATAAATTAATCCCATACCTGCTTCGGCCGAAGGAAAACGCAAGGATCGTCAATGGAAAAAGCGCGACTTTTTCAGGATTGCAAACAAACTAGTACTCATTCCCGGAGTGGATGCACAGGGACACTGCTCTTTTCTTCTCTGCTCGCGTTTTCGCGATGGTTTTCGAGACAAATTGTTATTTATTTTTTTATCCTTCTCAAACTAACTGTACACCGACCGCGTGTACGTCTCCGCACGGCACCGGCGACACTGTACGTAGGGAAAATTCGTGTACTCTCCCGAGAGGAGAAAGATTATGCTCGAGCGAGCATGTATATTATATACGTCGCGGAAGAAATTTTTCGAGTCTCGGGGAGTGAGGGAAAACCGGCTCCCATGACCGGCAGAGTTTACTGAACTAGAGAGAGCCTCTCTTTCTCTCTCTCCGACGCGACGACCGGCAGTCGCGAGCGTTTATATAATACCGCGCTCGTGTGTACGTACCGAGTACATGCAGTAAATGAAACAATAAGGAGGGATAATTTTTCGATTGCTTCCATGGGTAAGTACTTTGTCTCGTTCGGAAAAGGATACCGATTTTTACCTGATGGTCCCCGACGGTGATTATTGATGGTTGCGCCATTTATCGGGGTTATCGCGCGTACGGAGCAAAAGGTCTTTGCTTTGTGTGGTTGATGAATGAGTCAATAAATGAATGAACGCGATATATATATATATATGTACACGAAAGTTTAAGTATCTCCCCGACGCATACATACACACATGCATACATGCCATTTACAATATATCGGCATGAGAAAACAACACGAGCGATAAGCCGCACTTATCTGTCTTTCTTGGGCACACATCTGTCTACTACGTGCAGTATACATTATCTTGAATATACGTAAGAATCGTCAGTCGCTCGCGAGCTTGTGTAGTCGGGGGGAAACAGAAAAAAAAAAAAAAAAAAAATACAGCCCAAGCACGCGCGTTTTCTTTGCGCTGAACAGTTTCTCGAGACGAGAGAGGGAGGGCCCTTCTTGCACACACACACGTCAGTTGCGCCCGGACCTTCGCAGGGCTAGTGGAGAAAACCACGTGCTCCGCCGAGACCATGGATCCCGAGGTGGAGGAAAACATCAGCAGGAAACTCGGCCTCGTCGACCAGTTGGCTGGACTGATCAAGGCGCTCAACGAAAATGGCAAGTTGTACATATATATATATATACCTATACTCTTTCTTTTTGTTCACTTTTACTGGATCAAACTGTCGCTTCAAAACGAACAGTGGGCGCTACGACAGCGCTTCGACCCCTCGAAAATGTTTATGCTAATGATGTATAGGTTGCGCCTCATGAATAACAAATGGCTTGGGTGGTTTCTTTGTCGTTTGAAATGAAAAAAAAAAAAAAAAAGGAAACAACGTGAGCCACGGTGTAACTTGGATTTCCAGGTGACGCGGGAAAGTACAAAGTATCGAGCAAACCGGAGCCGAAGCGGCAAATGGGCCCGGCGTGCACGTCGAGCTGCCGGCGCCGTTGCTTCGAGCGGTTGAGCGAGGAGGAGCGCGAGACCCTGTACACCGAGTTCTGGTCGTTGTCGAGCCGCATGGCCCAGTGGGAGTACATAGCGGCGAGCCTGTTCGTCAAGCCAAAGGGCAAAGCGACGACCAAGGACCGCGTGGTCATCTCGAGGAGGAACAACTCGAGGGTGTACTTTTTCACGGTGCCGGACCGTGTAGAGCAGGTCTGCAAGACCATGTTCCTCAACACCCTGGGCATCAACAACTCGTGGACCTTCACCGTTTGCAAGAAGCTTAGGATCAACGGGTACATCAAGGCCGACGAGAGGGGCAATTTTACCCACAGGCCCAGGAAAAAGGCCAATTGACACCCGACGTCGCGTGTAATACCACATCGTGTACGAGTGTGCCTTTGTACATACATATACCGTTATAATTTTTAAGGAGTTGATATTTTTTTACAATAAATATTCTAGTGTTTGTCCAGTTGGACCAGAAAATGAAAAAAAAAAATCTCGCATTTTCTTTCCATTGAGAGATTGTTAGTCGCTTATCGAGTTCAACAAGAGTGTATTTATGATGTGTATCGGTATCCAAGTTATTCGATGACTTTGAGGCGCAGCGATACACGCAATATAAAAAAAAAAAAAAAAAAACATTGTTTGCCGTGTCGGTATCGTAAATATACATACATACACGTATATAAAAAATGTCCAAGTCGATGTCGCGATTAGCTTATCGCGGTGGAAAATAACACGACGGCCCACTCACCACAGGCGAAGAAATCGGTGTCGTCCTCGATCTCGAGATTGAGTATGCCCCCCCAGGTGTTGCGCATGGCTTGGACGGCCTCCCTCTCGTCCTCCGTGAACTCGATGCTGCGGGTGCCATTTTCCATCGACTTGGCGCCGTACTTGCTGGCACTGATGGTCCGCGTGCCCAGCTTGAGCACCTCCACGTTCACCCAATTGCCGTCCTCGGCCTGGATCAGGAGACCAGCCCCGTGCACCACGCCCGGCCGCCCGTTCACGTCCACCCTGTCACCTTCCGGTACATCCTTACCTGTCCCACACACGCGCGCACGCTTAATTACTTCGTGATAAAAATATATGGTGTATAGTGCATCTTTTGATCCATCCCGGTAATCAATACAACGTACGGTGAGAAGCAACTATTTTTTGTCTCTCTTACCGATAACTTTGTTTTTACCCTTTGATTGGGCATCGAGTTGCGCTAGCTTGAGAAAATTAAAAATTTAAAAAAAAAAAAAACGCAACGAAAAGTACGGGTGCAATAAAATATCTCCGTCACGCAGGTATTTTGTTGCGATGGGAGGGGTAAAAATCGCACCCTCGAACAAGCTGCTTTTGTAGAGCTTGGCCTCCTCGTTGTTGACGAGGGTCCACGCGCCGGGGGTCGAGTCGAGGGCGCGTATGAAGTTGTGGACCTGCCGGGCGGATTTTCCGGCCCACTTGATCTCCTGGAGGTCCTTTTTGTTGAGCATGGGGTCGTACGACGCGCCCTCGTCGGGTTGGGCCACGGCGGGTGCTTTGCCCTCGGCCACGAGGTCGACCAAAAAAAAGGAAACACCGTGG